GAAGAACTTTTGCGGTGTAATTTCGATTCCAAATTTACATATAAATATTTCTTCAATATTTCCGACGTACATGGTTAGCGCGAATAATATTCACTTCAATTTAATCTCATGTTCATTAACGAAAAAATTCAATAATACATCTGGGAGGATGGGAAGGTGTTTACTCACGTTCGTGCAGTTTGAAGATGACAACCCGTGCGTCGATGACTGGCTTGCGAACAAAAGAGTAATTAGATATAGTCGGAATTGCATCGCGAAGTAGTAGACCTCGGTAGCTTAGTTGGTAGAGCAACAGGGCGTAAACCTGAGAGACCTGGGTTCGTATCCCAGTCGAGGTTGAAAACTTTTGCGGTGTAATTTCGATTCCAAATTTACATATAAATATTTCTTCAATATTTCCGACGTGCATGGTTAGCGCGAATAATATTCACTTCAATTTAATCTCATGTTCATTAACGAAAAAATTCAATAATACATCTGGGAGGATGGGAAGGTGTTTACTCACGTTCGTGCAGTTTGAAGACGACAACCCGTGCGTCGATGACTGGCTTGCGAACAAAAGAGTAATTAGATATAGTCGGAATTGCATCGCGAAGTAGTAGACCTCGGTAGCTTAGTTGGTAGAGCAACAGGGCGTAAACCTGAGAGACCTGGGTTCGTATCCCAGTCGAGGTTGAAAACTTTTGCGGTGTAATTTCGATTCCAAATTTACATATAAATATTTCTTCAATATTTCCGACGTGCATGGTTAGCGCGAATAATATTCACTTCAATTTAATCTCATGTTCATTAACGAAAAAATTCAATAATACATCTGGGAGGATGGGAAGGTGTTTACTCACGTTCGTGCAGTTTGAAGATGACAACCCGTGCGTCGATGACTGGCTTGCGAACAAAAGAGTAATTAGATATAGTCGGAATTGCATCGCGAAGTAGTAGACCTCGGTAGCTTAGTTGGTAGAGCAACAGGGCGTAAACCTGAGAGACCTGGGTTCGTATCCCAGTCGAGGTTGAAAACTTTTGCGGTGTAATTTCGATTCCAAATTTACATATAAATATTTCTTTTATATATATATATATATATATATATATATATATATATATATATATATATATATATATATATATATATATATATATATATATATATATATATATGACTATCGAAAATATATACACTGCGAACAAGATCCAGGCAAGATTAGACGGTGAGCTTACCACACAGATACCAGTGAGAAGTGGTATTCGTCAAGGAGATTCGTTAAGCTCCCTTCTGTTCAACATCACCATGGTGATGATAAATATATATATATATATATTGATCATAATCAAAAAAGTAAGAGGAATGAGGGGCTACAAAATGGGGGGCAGAGAGATATCCATTCTGTGTTACGCCGATGACGCTGTGCTGATTGCAGAAAATGAAGACGAATTACAGCGCCTCCTACACCAGTTCAACTGTACAGCCAAATCGTTTAATATGATAATCTCTGCTTCTAAAACAAAGTGCATGACTACATCAAAAACACCATTGAGATGCAAGCTTGAGGTTGATGGTAAATCTATCCAGCAGGAAATGAAATTTAAATACCTCGGCATAGAGATTTCGGTTTATGGTGATGTCGAGGCAGAGGTAAGGGAGCAGGCAACAAAAGCAGCAAGAATAGCAGGATGTCTGAATGACACAATATGGCGCAATAAGCATATCGGAATTGAAGCCAAGGCACGAATCTATAAAGCAACCGTAAGGCCCATTATGACATATACTGCAGAAACTAGACCAGAAACAACGAAAACCAGGAGACTACTGGAGACAACCGAAATGAAGGTACTTCGCAGGATAACCGGAAAAACACTTCTCAATGGAGAAAGGAGTGAAAATGTTAGAAACATGTGCAAGGTGGACAGCATTAATGACTGGGTATTGAACAGAAAACAGGAGTGGAATGACCATATAAACAGAATGGACGCCAGAAGAATAGTGAGAATCGCCCGTGATAGATCTCCACTGGGGCGCAGAAGCGTGGGACGACCACGGAAAAGATGGAGGGACAACTTGAACGTTCCGTAACAGACAAACGACCGAAGAATAAACAGGAGGCTTTCGACTAAAATAAAGCTAGAAGAAGAAGAAGAAGATCAAAAAGTTAAACTTATTTTAAAAAAACAAATTGGTTTTTTTGTATCTTCACATATTCATTTTTAGTATCTGGCTTAGCATTCGCCAGATCGGAATCGAAGAATTCGGAATCAATAGAAAATATCTCGCAGATCATAGGTACACCAAGCACAGGAACATTCACACGCTTATACTCGTAAGTATTCACTGAAGTGCAACGTCTATTCGACGAATGTCATCATACGATGCTTAAAAATGTCAAAAGTTTGAGTTAGTAGTACGCTCGTGATTCTTCCGATTTTAGAGAGGCTCATGCGGTGATATTTTTAAGGAAATGTAAATGTGTATAAGTATGTACTCACATATATATGAATACATATATGTGCATACACATATATTAATTTAGGTTTTGCGCTAATGGTACAGAATAGCAAGGAATTCAAAGCAAACAAACCAAAAAACGAAATTGAATATATCGTAATTAATATAACTGAATAGTCGTACATAATAATTCGAGAGAAGTTTTTTACATTGTTAAGATATAATAGTTTGATAATTTATTGAATTCTATGTATTCAATTCAATTCCATGCCCAAAAGGTCCTCTTATTATCAGAAAAAAAGTTTTCAAAAGAAGAGACGTTATCATGTTCTCGAAATAAGAGCCATCCCGGTGATCTAGAACGTCTGTGTGACCCAAAGCTTTATAAAGCGAAATCGCAGACCATATTCTTTCCACAGCGTAGCCCTGAAAATGGCTAAATGAAACTGTATTCACGATCCCTTATAAATACAATTTCCGTCCTTCCAACAAAGTAGACTGTATTTTACCACAGAAAGGCAAGTTGCAAAGAGAATATTTCAGTTTCTCCAGAAAATCCCCACCATGCCGCACACATAGACGTATATATATATATATATATATATATATATATATATATATATATATATATATATATATATATATATATATATATATAGTAAATACTGAGACTCTTAATCGAAATATTTCAAATAAAACTCTCAGGCAGCTCTCTACACAAATGTTGTCAACGAGAAAGAACCCATCACTTTCGGGAGTAAATATTGAGAGCGTTTCGAAAAATTCATCGATCTTGTTGAATGATAATAGGATACAATTGTTTCATCATTATTATGAATCATCAGTCCATCTTTGATCTTTCAATCAAGAATCGATGACTTTCAAAACGAGCATAGGTCCTAAACCAAATTCAGGAGAATTTAACCTAGTGTAATATTCACGTAGGCTCCCTCTATCGGAGAAAAGACGTATAAACTCTCCCTAGCGTTCAAGATTCCTACTTATGACAACAGTAGCGCGAGCGCAAGGCTTTGTAGATATTTCATTCGAACACTACAGAAAATTGTCCGCAATGTGTACGAATAATCCCATGCCAAATCGCTCCAGATCACAACCAGGCAAGCAAAAGTGTAGCTAGTTTCAAGTTTCACAAATCATTCAATACTAGTAAATACTGAGACTCTTAATCGAAATATCGAAATATTTCAAATAAAACTCCCAAGGAGCTGTCTACACAAATGTTGTCAACCAGAACGAATCCATCACCCCCTGAGAGTTTTATTTGAAATATTTCGATATTTCGATCAAGAGTCTCAGTATTTACAAGTATTGAATGACCTGTGAATCTTGAAACTATATATATATATATATATATATATATATATATATATATATATATATATATATATATATATATATATATATATATATATATATATATATATATATATATATATATATATATATATATGTGTGTGTGTAGCCTTAGCAGAAGCATCTTTATGTATAATGTTATCCGGTAAATTTTCGTGTATGTATAGAAATATAGTGAAATAATTCTTGTAGATTGGGTTTGAAGTGAATAAAGTGCTGATCTAAGCGTTTTCATAATCCGCAACTATAACTGAGATAGTTCAACAAAGGTATTTGTGAAATTCAAGTAAATATCATAAGTTAATGGTTTAATTCGTACCAAAAACATAAAAACTCTGAAGAACATCTGTATTCTCTACAAGTTGTTGATAACTAAAGGAGTACATACACGAATAAAGTATTTCGTTGGTAAATTATGAATATTCAATTGAATGAAGAAATTACTCTGGATAAATTGTATCGGGAAATTGTCGAATCGAGAAATGATCTAAAGGGGGCGATTGAAGCAAGTGAAACCACCCTTCTTCTGAAATTAGAATCGCTGAACCAAAAAACACAGAAGCTTGAAAGGAAAATAAAATCCTGAAAGAAAAGATTGAAGCTCTTGAGAAGCAGAACATCAAAAACAATCTGGTGATTTTTGGACTCCCTAATAAACATGATGAAGTGACTGCACAGTCAGTAGTCCAAGAAATAAATCGTCTATTACAGATCGAGCTTTCCGAATCGGATATAAACGATGTTTACTCCTGGGAAAGGGAATAAATAAACCAATAAAAGTAGAGCTGTTGTCATTTATCACGAAAAGAAAAATTTTGTACAATACGAAACACCTGAAGAACACAAACATTTTCATATCGAACGATCTAACAGAGCTCCAAAGAGAAGAGCAAAAGATTTTGAGACAACATCTGAAATATCTACGGGAAAATACAGAAAAAAGATGTTATATTAAAGGAAATAAATTAATTATCGATAATAAGGGATATAACGCTACTGAATTAGAAAAATTTCAATCACAAGCAATACAGAGGGAAGGAGAAGTCAATCACCACTGCAAGTCATAACTAGGACTCCAGCACAAGAAAAAAATATATCAATAGAGAACCAACTGCTGAGTTCAATAACATAAAATTGAATAAACCAGAGGCGTCACAAAAAATTGAACTTACGCTTGGAGCCATAA